AGGGAGTGAGATGGGTGGGAAGGGGTGAGTGTGGAGGGAGTGAGATGGGTGGGAAGGGGTGAGTGTGGAGGGAGTGAGATGGGTGGGAAGGAGTGAGCACCAGCTAGCCTGGTGCTGTTACAGAGGAACTGAGAGCTTAAATTAAGACACATTTCTCAGCCTTCACTCTGTTGACATCGGGACAGTGATTCTTTGTTGTATGGTGTGGTGGGCTGTCTCCTGTTATATGGGGTGGTGGTGGGGTATCTCTTGCTGTATGGGGTGGTAGGATGTCTTCTATGATGCCTCTTGTGTATTGTGGGATATTTGGCAGCATCCTTGGCCTCCACCCACTAGGTGGCAGTAGACCTTATTTTCTCCATTGCTCTCTAGTGGTTAATGCTTAAAAGTACTAGCAATGTTAACACCTACTCAAACAACAGAATACAGTTAAGTATAGCCAGCACTTCCTGTGGCTCTTTCCACCTGGTGTTTGTATGGTGTTAAAGACAGAGTGATAGAAATGAGATTTCTCTGTCACATTTTGATAAAGTGTCGGTCGTATCTGTCTGTGGCTTGTCTCTCGTGGGCTAATGATCATGGTCTGGGACTCTTCAGAACGATGCGCTCGAGCTGTGCAACAGAATAAGCGATGCCATCGACCGCGTGGACCACATGTTCACCCTGGAGTTTGATGTCGAGGTTGAGGAGTCTGAGTCAGCCACGCTGCAGCAGTACTACCGAGAAGCCATGATTCAGGGCTACAACTTTGGGTTTGAGGTAGGTACCATGTGTACGGGAACACCACACAGTCCGGAAATGGCTTTGTGGGTTACGAGAAGCATATGGAGTCTGGACGACAAGCCTTATATTAATTATAATCATTGCATAGTAGGGAATGTCACCTGACACTGCTCTGCAGTCTCCGAAGTGTCAGTTTTCTTTTAAAATTCAGATAGTTACCCAGATTTTAATTTTCTACTCACAGCTATCTACTGTATTTTGAAACTTTATTTAAGAGCTGTTTAGTGTCATAAAAGTACATTCCTAATTTAAAAATAAATTATTTACCGAGCTATATTTTTTTTACTATATTCTATAATACTCTAGGTTATTCAAAGTATACATACTAATTGGACTTTGCTGTTCAATTTTAGAAAAAGACATTTTAGTCAGATCAGCATTATTGTGTGTAGGTATTGCTAGAATGGACTTGTTAATTCTGATACACATGAAATCTTCTTACAGTATCATAAAGAAGTTGTTCGTTTGATGTCTGGAGAATTCAGACAGAAGATAGGAGACAAGTACATAAGCTTTGCCCAGAAGTGGATGAATTACGTGCTGACCAAATGCGAGAGCGGCAGAGGCACAAGACCCAGGTAACAGCGAGAAGCTGGCACTCTGCTCCCTATGTGAGCACATGCGGCTGCTTGGGGCCTGTTTCTGGGCACCACGTGAAACATACCGTCCAGCCCAGTTTAGTCAGTACTTCTCAAATGGATGTGTGTATACACGATGCCTGTAACTAACCTTAGAAGGAAGACAATCTGTAATGTGTCCAAAACGGCCTGCCTCCTAAGAGCATCCGTGGTGGGAGTGTGTAAATTGCTCCTGTATGTAACGCCCTGCAGTTGTCCCTGTAGCATGAAGTTTCACTAAAGTGTGTGAGTAAAGACGGGCTGGGCACTCCGTAATCCAGATGAGCAGACACAGGGCGCTTGGAAGTCACTTCCAAGGCAAAACACTGCAGACTGACTGCATGGTAAATGGAAAGCTGGAGCCTGGCGTGACCAGCTCACAGGTGACGCGTGTCCCCGCTAAATTCCCTCACGCTTCTTTTTGGGGTTAGAACTGACTTTAAAAAGCCATCCTCCTTTAAAAAAAAAAGGTCACTGTAAGTTGATTCTGCTCAGGTGTTTAAACAAGCACCACCTCCACCTCCCCCAGGAAAGACCAAGCATTTTGTAATATCTAATTTACATATTACATGGAGACACTTGCATCTTTGCTTATAAGCGTCATTGTTTTATGGAGACTAGTCTGCTAAGTTGCTTTTATTTATGAAAATGGAATTTATAATATATTTATTAGATGGCATTAGACTTCTGTCCAACTTATGCTTGTATCTTTTGTCTCTTTAACTAATAGTATAGTAAATTTCCAATTACTTTTATGCTAATGTTAGTGTGTGTAACTCATGCAATATTTCCCCAACTATTATGTGATTGTTGAATATTTTCTTATTATAGATGGGCCACCCAAGGCTTTGATTTCCTACAAGCCATTGAACCTGCCTTTATTTCAGCTTTACCAGAAGATGACTTCTTGGTATGACATACTCTTAAATACTTTCTCAGTTAGACAAGAACCGAGTTGGTCCCTCTCTCCCCTGGATAGCATAATATTCATAGAGTCCTGGTTCCTTAGGACATATGCTGTGAGGATGGTGACCCATCAAAATGCACAGCTCTCAAAGGTGTACCACAGTTTTCAGTGTTCCCTTATTGCAGCCATGTGCAGCAGCTGGCTATCTGGTGTCTTCTTGGCCCTTACACTTCTGAGACAGATGCTAGTGTCTGTATTTTATAGTGCCAGCTCAGATTGCTCTCTAGGAGCTAACAGAGAACAGGATTGTTTGCCCTCAGTGTCCTCCGTCAGTCAGTCCCATTGGCTGCCACCGTTCGCAGCAGTGGCTCAGGTGGTGGTGTACAGTGTAAATTCCATCGTGTTTCCTTCTGGTCATGGAGACGCATCTTTGCTTATAGGTGTCATTATTTTATGGGAATAGTCTGCTACGTTGCTTTTATTGATGAAAATAAAATTCATAATATATTTTAAAGTGATACTTAACTTGTATCCAGTTTATGCTTGTATCTTTTGTCTCAAACTAGCTAAAAATATTTACTTAATGTCAAATGTTGCTTTCGAATAGACTGAGTCTAGTGGGCTGGGGATATAATTAAGAATTTACTTTCTTTTATCATCTTCCAATTTCTCTTTGGTTTGTAGAGTTTGCAAGCCTTGATGAATGAGTGCATTGGGCACGTCATAGGAAAGCCACACAGCCCTGTCACAGGTTTGTACCTTGGTGAGACCAGCACTTGATGGTTTTGATGAGCCAACTGTATACAAGGTAGATTTTTAAAGAGTATTCAGAAGGCAACAGAGGTGATCCTACAGGAAGATTAAAATGGCAGCACAAGGTGCAGCCATACATTTGAGCTGGTTTCTGTTTTCCTAGTGTTGATATTGTAGCCTGTTCTCCTTGTTAAAGTCTTTGTGTATGGAGCAAATGGGGAGGGGTCCCCTGGTCCTCTCTTGTCTCATGAAGGAAGGAGGGGTCCCCTGGTCCTCCTTGTCTCATGAAGGAAGGAGGGGTTCCCCTGGTCCTCCTTGTCTCATGAAGGAAGGAGGGGT